CTAGCAATAATCATATAGAAAACTAAATAGAAATAAATATTATTAACAACTGTAAAACTCTTAACAATAACAAATGAAAAAATGTGTGTTGTATATTGATCTATGATTAAAAGGACAAAAGTTTAAATATTTAGTAGAAGACAGGAATAAATGGACTGATAAATCATGCTGATAAACAATTAATGAGATAAAGATATGAAATCATGACATTGTGATATAAAGCAGGAGTCAGACAACCATGGGCCCTATCTGGCTTATATAAAATAAATAAATATTTACTTGAAAACAGTTGTGTTTATATACCTTTTACTTATTCTTTGTGGATGTATTTGTGCTGCAATAGACAAATTACAATGTAGACTAACTCTTTGTGTGTATATGGGCTGGGGGGGGTCTATTTTTTTTCTTAAACTCTGCAATTACCTCAAAAAAGACTAGGCTAAGTCTCAGACTTTATTGTTTATCTCTTTACAGAAAACATTTGCTAACTCTTAATCTACAGCAGTTAAAAGTATTTAGTGTCAATAGAAAAAGAGATAAATAGACCAACAGAACAGAATAAAGAGATAAGAAACATGGAGGCTGCTTTGTTTATGACATGAGACATGATATTAGTGGAGAAAGTATGATCTCTCATAAAATGTCTAGAAAAATCAACTATTAGAAAAATAATTTAAAAATTAAAATCATAAAATTACAATATCATTTTATATCAGCACAATAATTCTTAAAGTTTTAAAATATCTGAACATTAAAAGACTTAAAATTTAGATGAAAATACAGAAAAATACTTTAAAGAAATCAAAGTAAGAAAGATTTCTTAACATTTTATGGTTGAAATTTATATATACATTTTTACTATTAAGAATAAAAAAGTCCCTAGTGGATGAAAAGATCTTTTAAAACAATGAAATGTCAAGCTGTACACAGGTAGAAGATAAATTAACAAAACAATGAACCATAATTGATTAATATTTCATATATATATGTATATATATACACATTTATATATGGCACTCATATATATATCTCTAAGGAAAAAAGACTAATAACCTAATAGAAATAAAGAATAGATTTTATGAAATAGGATTCTTCAAAGTAGAAATCCAAAGTTCTCCCAAGTATATGAAAGGATGCTTATTCTCTCTGGTAATTAAAAAAAATACAAATATTGAAGGCAGTTGAGGAGGGAGCGCTTGGAGGGGGTTGGCCTGGTGTGCACTGCGCACCTCGGGGACGCTATTGTGCGTGGATCGCCAGTTTTGGGACGGCTTTTGCCCAGAAGAAAAGATGTTTGGTTTTCACAAGCCAAAGATGTACCGAAGTATGCAAGGTTGCTGTATTTGCAGAGCTAAGTCCTCCAGTTCTTGATTCACTGATAGTAAACGTTATGAAAAGGACTTCCAGAGCTGTTTTGGGTTGCATGAGACTCATTCAGGAGACATCTGTAATGCCTGTGTTCTGCTTGTGAAAAGATGGAAGAAATTACCAGCAGGTTAAAAAAAAAAAACTGGAATCATGTAGTTGACGCAAGGGCAGGAGCTAGTCTAAAGTCTACTTTGAAACCAAAGGAAGTAAAAACTCTATCTGGAAACAGGATAAAAAGCAACCAGATCAGTAAACTGCAGAAGGAATTTGAACGTCACTATTCTGATGCTCACAGTACCACCTCAAGTGCCTCCCCAGCTCAATCTCCTTGTTATAGTAACCACTCAGATGACGGCTCAGATACAGAAATGGCTTCCGGCTCTAATAGAACACCAGTTTTTTCCTTTTTAGATCTTACTTACTGGAAAAGACAGAAAATTTGTTGTGGGATTATCTATAAAGGCCGTTTTGGAGAAGTCCTCATTGACACACATCTATTCAAGCCTTGCTGCAGCAATAAGAAGACAGCTGCAGAGAAGCCAGAGGAGCAGGGGCCCGAACCTCTGCCCATCTCCACTCAGGAGTGGTGTCTGAGGTTTATGTAGAAGGGGAACAAATGATTTAAATTTTGAAAAGACCACAAAGCAACAAACTGACCTTACTATTTTTAACTTGGATACTTGCTATTCTGCCAAAAGACAATTTTCTAGAATAGTTTTGAATGGGTTATTTTTTCCTCCAGTCCCATAAAGTTTGAAGCCAGTGTCTAGCTTACTAAAAGAAAAAAGAAGTGTACATAATATTTAAGATGCTGAGTATTTCATAGGAAAGCTGAATGTTGCTGTGAAGTGCTCTTTAAGTCTTTTTTTTTTTTTTATAATCCCCTTCTAATGAATTAAATTAGGGGAATTTCAGGGGAAAAAATATTGAACATAATTAAATGGAATTTCATTTGCATCAGAATGTTGTCAATAAGTCATATTAAAATTAATACTTTACAAAAAGTCATTTGAATGACCTCTATTTTTTAAAAAACAGAATTTAGCAATATTTTGCTTACTGGGAAGGAATAGTAATATATAATTCACTTGAAACATTGAGGAAATGAGGCAGAACATTTCTTTTGTAACCCACCCAAAGCACAGCATTATTTTTGTTCTCTAAAAATGTAACTGAAATCAAAATTTATAATATTAAAATGTTTCTTAGAAGTAATTTAAAAATCTGAATGCCATTATACATTAGTAAACAATATGTGTTCTTTATTATTTTTCAGAAGATTCAAATGTGACTTTCAAATAGTGACTATTGTGTAGAAACTATTTCACTGCTTTAGAATCACTTTTTAGTCTACATATTTGAGTCCCTCAGATTAGTACACACATCTCAGAAACAGTAGGTTACTAGACTCAGGTAACTGGGTCAAAGAAATTTGAGACCAGACTCTCACAGTGCACTTATTATAGTCATTAGAAAAAAAAACATGTTATCAAACACTAATCAAATTATTAATATTATTGAAGAAACATACTGAATAGCCTTTTTTCTCCAAGGATGAGATTAAACAGAATTCCTGTATGAAAGCATACATGGGATGTGCCTAAACAGGGAGTATCTTTGAAGAACTTTGACAAATAATGTTGGTTCTGGGAAACACTAACAAGTCATCAAAAGGGACAAAGAGGAAGAGGTAGGATTAAGCAGAGAAAACAGTGAAGAGGAAATAAAACTAGGTGGAGATCCACAGTTGTGGTGTAATATAACATTAAAAAACAAAACAAAACAAAACTGAAACAAAGCAAAACTATATCTACCTAAAAGTCAGTTGTTCCTAGAAGGAATGAGAAATACACACACACACACACACACACACACACACACACACACATACAACCTTGACGTATTCATAAGGAATATGTAATCTGCCAAATATGTCTTCTGTTTTATAGGTTTATTTAGAGTAATGAAGAGTACAGAGATTGAGGAAACAGTTAAGGCTGTTTTGAAATTTGAAATCGTGATTTGTGTTTCAGCCCTTCCTTCAAATGAGCAAATTACATGACATCATATAATTACATGACACCATGTCTTTCAAGATCTGAAGAATAACTCACATTCAGACTTCATAGATTAGTGTGGCCACAAAATCTAATCTGCTGTATCTGTATGATGCCAAGCCACTACATTCTCTGATTCTTTTTCATCTAATTGATTGGGTTTGGTAATAAAAAAATTAACTTATCTGTCAATTTATGTCACACAAATAACCCACAGGTGTTGTAGAAAAATTAGAAAATCTAGCCAAGAAAAATTTTATCCCTAATATTGTAACACAGGCATTACTAAAGTTGACTTCATTGTTTTCTTCCACAATAATTAAATCTATAAATAGTCTATCTGGCTGTTTGTCAATCTATAAATCTATAATATGTATTCAATAGATCTTTAAATCTTTGTCCATTTTTTTATTTAATTGATTTTATATTTTAAAATACATGACAGCAGAATGTATTACAATTCTTATTACACATATAGAGCACAGTTTTTTATATCTCTGTTTATATATGAAGTATGTTGACACCAAATTCGTGTCCTCATACATGTACTTTAGATACTGATGTCCATCACATTCCACCATCCTTGCTGATCCCCTGCCCCCTCCCATTCCCTCCCATCCCTCTTTCCTATCTAGAATTCATCTATTCCTCCCATTCTCCCCTTCCCTACCCAACTATGAGTCAGCCTCCTTATATCAGAGAAAACATTGGGCATTTGTTTTTTTGGGTATTGGCTAACTTCACTTAGCATTATCTTCTCCAACTCCACCCATTTACCTGCAAACACCATGATTTTATTCTCTTTTATTGCTGAGTAAAATTTCATTGTATATATATGCCACATTTTTTAAAATCCATTCATCCACTGAAGGGCATCTAGGTTGGCTCCACAGTTAAGCTTTTGTGAATTGTAATAAATAAATAAATAGATAAATAAATAAACAAAATGAAACTAATTATGTATGAATATGTTGCAGTGAATCTCACAACTATGCATACCCATAATGGAACAATAAAAATATTTTAGGGGCTGGGGATGTGGCTCAAGCAGTAGTGCGCTCGCATGGCGTGCATGCATCCCAGGTTCGATCCTTAGCACCACGTGCAAACAAAGATGTTGTGTCCGCCAAATACTAAAAAATAAATATTAAAATTCTCTCTCTCTCTCCCTCTCTCTCAATCTCTCTTTAAAAAAATATCCTAAAAATTTTTTTTAAAAAATCTTTACTTGTTCATTGACATGATATGGCTATAGTTTACAAAATATATTAACACCACACCTGTTTTGTAACCTGCTTTATATTTTTAAAAAAGGAAAGTTAATTTCTCCACAGCAATATGAGGTCAAGGCACCATGTCTGCTTTGCTCACTGACATGCTCAAGCATAATTTGTTAATCGAATGTGTACTTGGGTCTACCCTTATTGACACATTTGAATCTTCTGTGATTTAAATTAACATAAGGAACTAATGCATAAATTATAAATTGTGTTATATAAATTGACAAACAGCCAGGTAGATCTGGAATGTCTATCACCTCACTTGAAACATTTTTTCCTCTTTTATAGACCCAATATGTCTTCCCAAAAATGAACTTGGCCTCTATAAATGATGATCCTTATTTTTCTTGGAGTGATAGCAACCTTGGGAGTAACTTCAGTCTCCTAGTTCATTTTCTGGCAGTTGGTCAATATTGACCATTTTCAATTTTAACTTATACTATTAAATCCTTTTCAGTTTAAAAAATTGACAATAAACATGAATATTAAATTTCTTCTAGGAATTTTTATTCATTTACTTATATTTTATTTCAACATCATAATTATTTTTCTTTGACACAGAATTTGATAATTTTTTAAAATCAAATGTCTACTTATAGTAATGTCACCAGTTATGGTGGTTTGGCAAGACTGAAATGCTCAAAACTTGATGTCAATATTCATTGTCAATAAAGTAGCTTATACAGTAGGTTTTTTTGTTGAGTTGTTACATTCTTTAGTCAATATATTTCCTACTGTATATATTCTTTTTCTTCTTGGCTCAAGTTTGCTATTGGTTATTAAAATTTTATGGGTGGTAAGCAATGTATAATCCATAAATGACTCTTTTAATAGTAGATATTCAAGCATGATTGTCTATATACATTGTCTTATTTTCAACCCTTTTATTAACAATACACACCCAAAAGTTGATTTTTCCAATTAATTTTTGCCTTTCAGAAAAATAAGCCCTTAAATAAGCACATAACTTTATGTGCTTACAGAATTTTGACATCCATTCACAATAATCCTTTGACATTCACAATAATCCTTTGAATTAGTCAGGACCAGTTTTTCTACTATTCCTATTTTCACATGCAGTGAACTTAGGTTCATAAAAGTCAAGGCACTTGCTTGATGTATAAGATTTTAAATGACATAGCTGAGCCCGAACCCAGACCTTAGCATTATAAATATAGTGTTACACCTTGTGATGATTTTTATTCCTCTGAGCTGTATCTCTGCATAAAATTATAAGATAAATTTGGGCTGGTCAAGTTTCCTCCCACAAAAAGCATGAGGACTGAAATCAAAGCTGTTTTATAGCAGATACCAGCAGACAACATGGCATCCTGGAATTCAGTTCCTTGTCCATGGAACTTAACCAGTATTTTACTTATTTCTACTTTTTTTCCTTTCTTTTCTTTTCTGTTCCTTAGGTTTCTGGACTATTTAACAAAAACTTTTAGAAAAAAAAGGAATTAAGAGTTTTAGAAATTTGTGATTCTTTTCCTTTAAAATATATACAACCTTCTGTATTTCAGAATAAAGATAATCATCGTGAAAAAAATACAAGGATTTGTCTAATTGCTAGAGATGATAAACATTTTTTCACATTTTTGTTGATTGATTGTATATCATCTTCTGAGAAGTGTCTGTTCAGTTCCTAGGCCCATTTATTGATTGGGTTATTTGTTTTTTGGTGCTTAGCTGTTTGAGTTCTTTATATACCCTACAGATTAGTGCTCTATTTGATGTGTGAGGGGTAAAGATTTGCTTCTAAGATGTAGGCTCTCTATTTACCTCATAGATTGTTTCTTTTGCTCAGAAGAAACTTTTTAGTTTGAGTTCATCCCATTTATTGATTCTTGATTTTAATTCTTGCGCCACAGGAGTCTTATTAAGGAAGTTGGGGCCTAAGCCCACATGATGGAGATTAGGGCCTACTTTTTCTTCTATTAGACACAGGGTCTCTGGTTTATTCCTAAGTCCTTGATCCATTTTGAGTTGAGTTTTGTACATGGTGAGAGATAGGGGTTTAATTTCATTTTGTTGCATATGGACAAATGCAAATCAAAACCACTCTAAGATTTCATCTTACTCCAGTTAGATTGGCAGCTATTATAAACACAAACAACAATAAGTGCTGGTGAGGATGTGGGAAAAAAAGGTACACTCATATACTGCTGGTGGGACTGCAAATTGGTACAGCCAATATGGAAAGCAGTATGGAGATTCCTTTAAAAACTGGGAATGGAACCACCATTTGAGCCAGCTATCCTTCTCCTTGGTCTATGCCCAAAGGACTTAAAAACAGCATACTATGGGGACACAGCCAATTCAATGTTTATAGCAACATAATTCACAATAGCTAAACAGTGGAACCAACTTCTATAGATGAATGGGTAAAAAAAAGGTGTGGCATATATACACAATGGAAATTTACTCAACAATAAAAGAGAATAAAATCATGGCATTTGCAGGTAAATGGGTGAAGTTGGAGAAAACATTGTTAAGTGAAGTTATCCAATCCCAAAAAACCAAATGCCAAATTTTTTCTTTGATATAAGGAGGCTGATTCATAGTGGGATAGGGAAAGGGAGCATGGGAGGAATAGATGAACTCTAGATAGGACAGAGGGGTTGGAAGGGAAGGGAGCAGGCATGGGGTTATGATGGAGGAATGTGATGATCATTATTATCCAAAGTACAGGTATGAAGACACTAATTGGTGTGAATATACTTTGTATACAATCAGCTATATGAAAAGTTTTGCTCTATATGCAAAGTAAGAATATAATGCAGTCCACTGTCACACACACACACAAACAAACACACACACACATACACACACACACACACACACACACACACACACACACACACACAC